CTATCTCTAAAAAGTCATGAGCTCACAAAGAAGAAATAACTGCCACACGTGAAAGCACTAGTCATTTTTGTTTATAACAACATGTGTAACATTTGTAGTTACATGTGTACTTTTCAAATTAAGCAACAAAGTCTGCATTTTAGCATTTACTTGCGGACAACTTGCCTGTCATCAATAATCACTTTTTATTTTTTACTTCAAATGTTTGTGCGACATGTTCACCTCCCCAGAGCACTTCAACCCCCCCCCCCCCCCCCCTCCTTCTCCTCTCCCCACAAGTACGGCTGTTGTCACCTAAGCTCCGGATGGTGAACTCACTCTCTATATTTAGTTTGTTCGTGTAGTTTTGTAAAGCAGCTTGTGTAGCTGCAGCGTCCTAATATGTGGACCACAGGACTGCAGAGGCTACCAGCCTGCTCTGGTCTGGCCTGGTTTGGCCCTGCATCGTGCCATCAGCACCACAAAGAATCTGACAAACCCTGAAACCTTTCTCACGTGTTACTCAGTATGGCTGCGGCAGGCAGCGAAGGGGTTAATACCAGTCACTCAGCATGCGGGAGCCATGGCGGGCGGGCAGGCAGGCAGCGCAGAGGATGACCTCTGACCCCTCAGGAAAGGAATGTGGAAGCTCTTTCATCCAGGACAGAAACTAAAGACACCCGGGCGGTTGGAAAGTGGCGGTTCAATTCTGCTTTCAACGTTTTTGATTAGGGGAAGTAAGCAGAGGTTCTATGTGAATGTGTTGTGCAGTGTTTGTCGTAGCGGCATCTGCCATTTTGGAATGAAGTTCCATCCTGCAGCATTGCAGTTTGTTACTTTGTGATCACCGCACTGATGGTGAAGTGTGATTAGTGGTTGGAAATGGCTGCAGTTGGGCTGTTTGTGCTGGCGGAAAACCCAGCTTAAGAAGCAGTGTGTGCACTGACCTAATACCTGTATAGTGCGTTTGTAGTTATCGTTAACTATTACTAACATGTAGCGTTGCAACCAATGATTATATTCATTATTGATCTGTAAATTTGTTTCCTAAAAACTAGAGGAATTAAGAACATAGTCGAAAATGCTCATCAAAAGTTTGCGTTGATATCTTAAAATGTGCTTGGTTTGACAGACAAACTGTCCAAAGACCCGTAGAGTTAGACTATAATAAAGTAACATTACTGGTACTTCTTCTCCCAATCTTAATCTCTCTGAAACTCTGTGTTTTAGTTCTTTTTTTCTGTAATCTAGAAATGAAGCATTGTCACTTTGTATGTTGTTTATTGTCTGGGGATGCCCAATATGGCCTGTAATTTAAAAGGATATGCTACTACTTTGCTGATTTTGAATAGTGAAATGACTTCCATGCATAGATGGTAGTTTACACAGATGTCATATTTCCTGTACACAGAAAATGTATTCTGTCCCATCCCTGGAACTTGGAGTAGTTAGACAGATTTAATTATTCATACAATTGAGCAAAACATCACTGAAACAAAAAGCAGGTATTTGTCACGTATCACCTGAGTGTGTGTCGTGTCTGTGGTCAATCTGTCTTCTTCCTCTCTTCATAGGGGTGAGGAGAAGAACGCGCCTACTTCTACTTGTTATGCAGAAAGTTGAGAAAGGGTTTGAATCACACAGAGCTTCAATAATTAACTTCCATTCTTGTACCTACAACAATGGCTATCTAATTCCAAATTTAAGATTTAGTAGAATTTGTACACGATTTATAAGAAGAACAAAGATTTTTCTAGCTAAACCTAATGAAAACTGTGAAACAACAAATGGCCTTTGAAACAAAAATGGACAACAGCATGAATCATTTTATTATTTTCCCCATTCTACACTATATTAATCTTTATTAGCAGGGAAAAATGCCAAGAAACCGTTCATCATACGGGGAAATACACCCCTATTATGCCCATGTGAAAGGAAAATACAAAAAAACATGTAAAATAGTATACATATGTATGTGCATTAGTTATTATATTACCAGTGACCAGTATTGTTTCTGTGAGACCAGTGAACATGAGTGCATCTGGAGCTCACAATTGATCGTAGCCGCAGACTGATGGTGATGGATTTACTGTACAAACACAACAGTGAGGACAAACAGTGAGCGAACTGAGGAGTTTTATACATGTGGAGTGGGAACATATGAGAGAATCCTCAGCTGGATATTCATTGGTTGATTGATACATAATAAGGAACATGTAGCAGCGTGTGTAGCACTGCAGAGAGACATGCGGGAAAGATCCTAATGCTTCTCCTTTGGCAAAAAGAGTTTGTTGAGAAACACAAGAAATGTGTTGATTAATGGCTGATCCATCCATCCATCCATCGTTAACCGCTTATCCTGCATACAGGGTCGCAGGGTAGTAAATCAATATCTACAATTTAATACATTGTGATATTTGATTTAAAAGAAAGGGTTGTTACTGTTTCTCTGCTACGCTAAGCTAACGTTAACTTTTAGCAGGACAAGTTCAGTAACTTTCTTCATCATGATTGGATTTGTACTGCAGCTACAAGATTTTGGGAGAGGAAATAGCGGTTTAAAGCAGGTGTGGGAGATATAGAGGAAATATTAAAATTGCAGTGATCATAAGAAAGTACGTAAAATGATGTTTGTATTCAGGTTGAAGAAAAAACTAGAAAAAAATCACATTGATGTCTGTTGCACTGAAGTGTAGCCTACAGATCTTTTTCACAGAAACCATTTTGATACATCACAGTAGAAAAGTACAGGTGTAAATAATATAATTAATGATGGCTGAATTCCATTTAGCTGCTTCAGTTTCAGGGTCTTGGTACTGTGCATGTTGGCTCACTTTCACAATGTCATGACTTACTGGGACACTTAGAACAGAGCCATTAATGTTCTTAGTTAAGCAGGTGCTGTTACTACAAGTCGAAACATCTGCTGTGAAAAAAGTCACATTTTTAGTAAACATGGACATTTCCTCTTAATTTAGCAAATAATTCTCACCAAATTGGTCAGAGATTCGATCATGCTTGCTTCTTATCAAATTAAGCACAGAATTATATAGTGATATGTCAGTATTTCACCAGAATAAAATTAAAATGAAAAATGATATATGTTACTGTACCACGACAAAAGTTGCTTTGGACTTACGTGGAGTGTTTCAGTAATCAGCATTACTCTCAAGCATAAAACATAAGTTTGTATATGAAGAAGAGCATCCCTGCTTGATGAATGGTGGTCAAATTGAATCATTGGTAATAGGGTGGTAACAGTCAGAAATGTAGAATGACATTTTAATTGAAGAGAGTTTTAATGTAATGTATACATAATGCAAGCATGATTGTATTGCATTGGTCAGTATGAGTCACCTGGGCTTGTTCAGGCCTGAGGGAGACCATGTTTGAAGTTACTGCTCTACATGGTCTGTCATGGTGTGTCCTTTGAGTTCAAGCTCTATTTGGTTTATTTCTATAACTTGATGGTGTGGATTCTCTTCATTGTACTGTATCTGCCTGTCTATGTGCGCGCCTTTGTGAGTGTGTTTGAGCATGCTGGCTTGGGGGGAGGGTGTGTACATGATGTTGCATTCGGTGTGACCAGAACCCTGTGTGTTGTATGTGCTGTTGTGTGCGGAGGAGAGAGGCAGGGCGACACGGCATGGTTCAGGCCAGGAATGTGCGATGTGGGTAGGCTGTACAATAGAGCCGGGCTCCCTGAGGGTGGTCAATGGGACGGGTGTCACCCCCCTGCACCCTCCCTGCTGGGTGATGACCACCACACAACGCTACAGCTGTCAGGTCCTCTTAACCACCGCCGTAAACACACATACATTATGAGAACAAACACACATGTATGCACATGTACACACTAAGACATACGTGAGCACACAGGCACGCATGTGCTAACGTGTGTCTTGTGTAGAAGAAATTACATGAACAAACACACAACTCTCATATGTACGTGGTTTCGCCACATGTACCAACCTGTGGATACATGTTTGGGCATTTCTGTGTAATCATGTAAATGTAAAAACACTCAGAGCTGATTGTAGCATGCTTGCTGTCTTTCTTAACTCATTGACCTCTCACACAGAAAGGATGCCATTACATTTGGAGTTGTGTATGTATGTGCAGACCTGTGCATGTGTGTGTGTGTGTATTCCCAAGTCACATATGCCCACATGTGTTTACGGGACTTATATGCACTCTCGGTTCACGTGACTGACACTCGGTGGATGGCTAACATTGTGATCAGTGTTTTGTCCGCTCAACCTTGGACTTGGCTGGTGTGTTAGCCCGCTGGGGTCACGCAGGTCACTGAGGGTAAATAAGGGAATTCAGAGATGACAGGGAGAGAGAGTTCAGCAGTCTCTCGGGAATATTTTTTAACTGCAGGTCAGTAGCTGTTTCAGTGCAGTTGTGCTGCCTCTTTTTTCACAACTTTTTACACTGTTGACAAGAAGTTGTTGAGTTCAGGTTGACTGACAGTACTAGGAAGCCTGAGTTTGTGTTGTAAACACTGCCCTCCCCCTGTCGTCCCTCACCCGCCACAACCCTCTCTCTACCCTGGGGGTTGTGTGTATTTCTGTGTTTTTCCAAGGATTACAGGAGCCTTATCCAGTTTCATAACAAGTACATACATGTATACACATTAACACACACAAAGCACTGTGCTGTCATCTGACATGATGAGGATGTGTAATTACATTCAGTCTTCACGTATGGTTATACAATAATGTGCTGTGACTGACTGCGAATCATCATTCACAAAACAATATTTTGGTAATCCTTTGTAGTCTCTGTCATGTCAGTCAGACTTGTCATTCAGCTCCCCCTAGTGAGCTCAGAGGAACTAGCAAAGGACTGATTTTATGATTCAGCCTGTTGAATTATAGGCTGGAAAGGTTTCCTTTTTCCATTTGCTTGGATTCTGAGTTGTTGTCTACATTAATGCATTTTGTTACAATTTTGTCAAAGCTTTAAAATACAAGGACTCTGGGGTCACTTTTGTAATGTTTGCTCTCTCTTTGCAGGACAGCAAAAATGCAGAGCAGTGTTTCCCACTCACCGCCAACCATAGCTGTTGGGACTGGGTGAGGAGGAGACAACAAGTGAAGAAGAGGAGCGACTGAAGCAGAGAGTGAGAGAAGGAAAGTGAGACGAAAGAAGGACAAGTAGGATTTTACAGGTAAAAATCAGGGTTTATAAGAAAACATCTTCAATGTTGCCACAAACTTGGGAACAGTTAGCTTCAAAGCATGTACCTTCTATCTCACCACAGATTTTGGCTTACCTTGATGTTTCTGCTGGATCATTGGCCCTTCCTGTGAGCTGTTGGTCACCTTCTTTTTTGACAAACCCCCCTGTAACTTCCCACGTTGAGCCTGCGAGGCAGGGGAGCCGCAAGTAAATTTTCATGGCAGCGGCACTCTAGGGCTGCCATGGCAGCTGCTGCCGCCGATGCCTCACACACACATATTACTGCACTGACGCTGGAGGAAGAGGGACGACGGACTGCCGCCAAGCTGTTTGGGAGCGCCGCCCCGCTGCCAAGGACAGAAAGAGAAAGAGAGAGAGAGAGGGGGAAAGAGAGGGAGAGGGAAGAAGAAGGAGAAGAGGGAGGGAGAGGGAGTGGGAACGAGTGTTTGGTGTGCGGGGCCCTGTTCGCCTCACAGGAGAAGCTCCGGCTCCACGCCTTGAGTCATACAGGAGAGAAACCCTTCCGCTGCTCACAGCCACACTGTCCCAAGGCCTTCAGCTCCAAATACAAACTCTTCAGGTACTGAGCATTAATCACACTGCTCAATTCACCTCCTTTTAATTACAGTATGATACATGGCTTCCCTAGCTTTCTCAGAATCCCCAGGGAAAGGATATAAAACGAAGACCTTTATCATCTTTTAGCTCATTGTTTGTGTTGGTTTTGCGACCTGCAACAGCAGTTCACAGTGAAGAAGCTCTGATAAACCCACTACTTGCCCAGGTGGACACTCAGAACAGCGCTAAAAGGAGAGTGAATATCGGATTTATTTTCATCCATCCATCTGTACTTTCTGATGATCATTGCATTTTCAAGCCAAGAAGCCGAATGAATGCTATGTTGCTCTGTAACTGATGGATGTGTCAATAAGCAACTGTTTGATAACATGTTCACATTATCAGCTTTATACTGTAAGGTGATAAAATGTCAATGTTGTGTTTACAGCAGTGGCCAAAAAATCAGTCAATGCAGGTTTAAGTGACCTCGTCTCAAACTCATCAACATACTAGGATGTTTGGAATCCAGTGAATCACAGGAAGTGGTTACAAAACCCATTTTGGGTCCTCACTGTAAACCACAGTGACTCACTTATTTAAATATGGACACAAGGGGTTTGACTGAAAGGAATTCAGGCCTCACTTTAGCATGCACCCGACTGACAGACTGTATAATAAACATGACTATATGACAAGGACTGTGTAACTTCTCGTAAACCACCCGCTAACATTTACAATCTGTCGTTTTCTTGCAGGCATATGGCCACACACTCTCCACAGAAGACCCATCAGTGCTCGTTCTGTGAGAAAATGTTCCACCGCAAAGACCACCTGAAGAACCACCTGCAGACCCATGACCCTAACAAGGAGGCCTTCAAGTGTGAGGAGTGTGGGAAGCACTACAACACCAAGCTGGGATATAAGCGCCATGTGGCCATGCACTCTGCCACAGCAGGGGATCTCACCTGTAAAGTTTGCATGCAGACCTACGAGAGCACACCCATACTCCTGGAGCACCTCAAGAGCCACTCTGGGAAGTCTTCTGGTGGCGCCAAGGAGAAAAAACACCCGTGCGACCACTGTGACCGGCGTTTCTATACGCGGAAGGATGTGAGACGGCACATGGTGGTCCACACAGGCCGAAAGGACTTCCTGTGCCAGTACTGTGCCCAGCGTTTTGGCAGGAAGGACCATCTGACACGCCACGTGAAGAAGAGCCACTCGCAGGAGCTGCTGAAGATCAAGACGGAGCCTCCTGATATGTTAGGTCTTTTAGCCTCAGGGTCACCGCCTTGCTCTGTGAAGGAGGAGCTCAGCCCCATGATGTGTGGAATGGGTCCCAATAAAGACCCAATGATGGGCAAACCATTCCCCAGCGGGGCGCCTTTTCCGATGGGCATGTACAACCCCCATCATCTCCAGGCCATGTCTAATTCTGGGGTGGGTCACCCACACCCGTCCCTGATGCCCAGTTCCTTGTCTGCAGCTATGGGCATGGGCTGTCACATGGAATCCCCTGGACCTCTTCATCCACACTCCCATCACCACCACCATCACCACCACCATCACCACCACCATCATTCCCCTCCGCTGCCCCCACACCACCAGCCTCCGGCTCCCCAGCAGCAGCACCAGCCCCAGCAAGCCCCCAAATACCAGCTGGGATCTACCTCATACCTGCTGGACAAGCCCTTGAAAGTGGAGATGGAGAGCTTCCTCATGGATCTGCAGAGTGGCTCGCCAGGCCCGGTTCCCTCTGCTGAGCCCCACGCTGCTGCCTCGTCCCCCAAGGACGGACTGGAGCCCACCTCGGGCCTGGCGGATGAGCTTTGCGGGGATCCCCTCCTGTCCAAGAGCCCTGCGGTGATCGCTGAGTCTCTGTGTGCTGCTAACATGGACTTCTCCCACCTGCTGGGGTTCCTGCCCCTCAACCTGCCTCCCTATAGCGCCCCCATGAGCACGGGAGGGCTGGTGATGGGCTACACCTCATCTGCGACCTCTTCGTCTTCCATCTCCTCTTCCTCATCTCTGCACGCTGCCGAGGCGCATTCTGCAGCAGTCGGCACGGCACATCTTACCTCTTTGCAACCGCAACCTCAGGAGCAGCAGAGCGCCAGTGGTGGTCTAGGCCTCGGACCCCTGCACCCCCTCCCATCAGTGTTCAGCTCCAGCCTTAGTACCACCACACTGCCTCGCTTCCACCAGGCCTTCCAGTGAGAGAGCCAGCCCTCGGCCCAGCCCCGCCCAGTCAAGATGGCCTCCACGTCAGCCTCAGCTCAGCTCATCATGGATATTTTGGGCTGGGGTTCATTACAGGGCCTGATCGGAGAAGTTTGAGAATTTGAATAAATAAATACACAAATGAACACTTAGAAGCCTTAAATGAAAGTGCACAAAAGCCTTTGATTGAGCCTTAAAAGGAAGTTAAACCCCTTTGAGCAAAAAGGAAAAGGTGAGAAAAGAAGTTGAAGCAGCTTTTATTTGGGCTTTTTCCCCCTATCCTATAGTTATAACAATGTATTAACTCTTATCTTTTTATTTTTATTTACTTCCCCTGTTATCCTCCTTCCATCCCCTATTTAGTAGTATAGAGGGCAGGATCAGTAGGCCAAAAGGCATGGTACTGCATACTTTCTAAAGTAATAATATTAAAAAAAAAAATCAAAGATAATTTTTAGTGAAGATTATCTGTCTTGTTGTGAGCCAGAAAAAAAATATAGTTTGAAGTGGATATTTTGTTTTATTTTTTTTTTTCCAAATGTAAGAACATGGTAGAAGTCTTGAGTTTTGAAACACCTACTCTAATAACCTGAACTGTCATGATCAGTACGGAGAGGAGAGAGATCAGTGAAGGAATGAAAGAAATAGAGACAATGAGTCAACAATTGAACCTTAACTCTAAAATCCTCCTCTAGATGGCTAGGCTAGAGCCACAAAAGCGACCCCCTGCCTCTAAAAAAAAGTGCTCTTCAAACAAGAAAAAAAAATAAATGGATGTCCCTATTATTATTTTAACTGTAACTGATGTGCTCCTAGAGTCGGGTCAGTTTTAATGAATATAGCGCACTAAATGAAAAACAGACTCTTGTCATATAACTGATAAGATATCTGTTTGCTGCCAAACACAAAGACCAGTCACACACATTTTTTTAAAAGAAAATCAAAAAAGGAAAGAAATGTGAAAGTGTGTGAGTTGGTTGAAAATGATGTAATATCATGCTTGCGTTTTTACTGTTCCTCAAGAGAAGCACTTTTTTTCAGCAGAAGGCACTTCACCTTTAGGAATCTCTTTGGGAAACCTTTTGTCTCCTTCCTCGTGACTTCTAGAGGTTTTCACTGCCTGAGACAGAGACTTTCTTCTCACTCTCCTTCCTTCACCTGTCTTCCTCCTAACAGTTATCTTTAAAAGTTCCCATGATATATACATATTTGCAGCTATTTCTTGGCTGCCCAACAAACCTAAAATATCTATTTTTGGAATAAAATACAAACACATCTTTAGGCAGTCTTTTAAAAAGATGCATCATCATGGTAATGATGAACCCTGACATATGTGAATGGCAAAAAATAAGAATTACAGTGACAGATGAGGAAAAATGTGTTAAAGAATGTTATTGCAGTGTACGAAATATCTCAAAAATGAATATTATCGTTGCTTTTATCTCAGTAAGGTGTATTTTAGGTAAACTAAGTGATGATGTTTTGTGTCTGGCAGGTTTACATTTGTGTGTATCTTGCATTTTTGATCAAACAAATGGATGAAGTATTAGCTTTTTCCCTTAAGCTTTCTCTGTCATATCCAGTCTTTACCTTTACATGTACCTGAGTTAGTATAGTGGAATCAGAACTGTGGATGGGAAATATATATAGAAGGCTGTTAGTGGCTTAATTATCAATTCAAATTTGAGCTAGATAGATTGTGTCATAGGGATGCTGACATGGATGGCCTATGAAGTCATGCCTAGGTCTTTATCCAGTGGAATATGTAACCCCTGTGCTGTGAAGAAATCCCAGCTGAAGATCCACCTGAGCTCCCAGGACCTTAGTGGTTTTGGATGTCTTGGAGTTTAGATTCTTTCTAACCGTTCACCACCAGCCGATAAAAACCTGAGCCCAAAGTTAACCTAAGCCTCAAAGTGAAATAGGTGCTCATTTTCTAAAGCTCTGTCAGCGGCATGACCAACACAACCGTCACATCCTTAACTTCACACAGGGCTGAGCTCCTGCATCATCTGTGACAGTTCATTTTGTGCTTAAATGTCGTTCCAGTCATAGAAGAAGACCCGTTCACTTTACTTATAGCAGTCGTCATGCCATAGGCGAGCCCCAACCACCATTAATAGTTGAGTAAAAACAAAGAAAAAAAGAAAAAACATAGCACGTAAAAATAAAAAATAAAATACATATTGCTGCTTTTAGCTATGGTTGCTGACGGATGACAACTGTAGACCACTAGAACATTTCAATTGTTTGCAAGATGGACAGCGAGCTGAAAACATGCACAAACCGAACCGACAAAGTGTTCATCATCCTCGGGCCCCATCCCCTCTGTACTCCTCCTCCTCCTCTCTCAGCTGCTTTGTAGAGTTAAAGGAAAAGGGTCTGAAAATACGGCGATATCCGGAAGAATGCAGCCACCGAATCCCCGGGCTTTGACATTCAAAGCACAGCGGGACACATGACTGACTGCACAACTTGGGATATTGCTAATAGTCGTTTATTTGTTTTGTTTGTTATCATATGATATATTATTTTCTGTTTGTATAAAACAGGACCTCGAAAAACAACACAACACATCACCTCAATTTTATTTGTTTTATTTTTCTTACCAAAACCTGGGGAGAAGAAACTACATTTTTGCACAATTGCTTGTTACAAAATGCTACAAGTGTTAGGAGCGATTTTTGATACTGTAGGGTATGAAACCCTGACGATGAGCAGCTGATGGCTCCTGTGTGTTCGACAGGTGAATATTCTTCTTGGAAAGTAGCAGCAGCTGCATTTCAGAATCAGCAAGCACTGATGTAGAAAAAGCTTCCCCGCAGTCTGACTGTTTAATTGCAACTTCATTGCTAAAATTGTAGATTTTTACAATCCAAGTTTGGAACTATTTTACACTTATTAGTCCCCCCCCCATCCCCCTCATGGAAAGTCAGTGTTTTGATGACTAAAATGATTAAACTTTTTATTGATTCTAAAAAAAATCAGCTGTCGGCACCTTTCTGAGAATTTACATGAAATACTGAAAAAAAGACAAGATTCAAATAAAAAGGTAATTTTTAAGAAAAACCCTCTTGGCTTAAGCCAGATTTGTAGCAATCAAATTGAGCATTTATAAGGAAAAAGGCTTATAAGGAATAAGGTTTTAAGGAAAAGCTTTTGGCATGTATTAAGTTTGTCCTCCCTGGGTTTCTGTGAGCTAATCTGAATTCTAGCACTTTCAACCTTTAAAAAGAAGAGTATTTTTTTCTTTAAAAATTTCAGCTTATATGTTCATGTTTTTAATTTTGTATTGATCCTGTATATGTATGTGCCATTAGTTTGATGTGTAGACTTTATCAACCTTTGTGTATTTCTTTTCTCCAAAAGAATAACAGTATTTTTGATAGACTTTTCACTAATATCCTTCTACATAAGAGCCCCCCCTGCCCCTTCTCGTTTGAAACCTTTTTGTTTTTTGGGTAACCTGCTTTGCCTTCTCTCTCATACATGTATCTAATCAAACTCTATAGCCAAGTGCTTGAAAAGAACAGCGACAACATGTCTGTTATTCAGAGGCAGTGAGAAACAAGACCGTTGTCAGTAGAGTGTGAAAGCCACAACCTGACCACAACCTGCCATTGAAACTCTGTTGCAACAGAGACCCATCTGCAGGCCATTTTTAGCCCACGTAACTGAACAAGAAGTGAACATGAAGTGAGGAGTGACCCCAAAATATAGCACTTAAAGCTTACAACCATGGTCGCTAAACCTGTTGTCCCTGCCAAAAGGAACATCTTGATGCTGATAATGACTCACTCTATGAATAGTACCATAGTGTGTACAAATTACAGGTGGCAATTGGCTATCACTGGCTTTTAAATTAATTGTATTAAACATAAACTCATTAAGTTGTTGAAAAAGAGAACAACTTTTAGATATTTAGACAGAAGTGAAACCATCTTTTTGAATGCAGAAGTGTGGCTAACTGTACTTGTAGCTGTAAAACACTGACAACAACAGATCTCACGCCTGTTCTATGACCTGAGCTCATAGGGGCCGTTTTTTTAGAGCGATTTACCCAGGACTGGGTCAGTCATGCTTCATAGTGTCATTCTGGGAAAAATGGGCCCTGTTTCTGAACTCTGTACCCTGATGTGTATGAAAGTCCAATGCGGCTAAGAAAAGAAAAAACAGGAAAATTTAGGCAAGAAATACTCATGGTTAATTAAAACTTACTTTTAATTATCAGATACTGTCAAAATTATTACTTACTAAGTCAACATGTTTAAGTCAGAATAGACTTGGTCTCACAAGGCTAGACCCATCTCTACACTGAACCCATTGTGATTCTGCTTTTTAAATTTACTTAGTATATCATAAATTTTACTTACTACAGTATCTCACACTTGTAATTTACCGTTGCACAACTTTCCAGCAGTTTTTTCTTTTTCTGTCAGGAATGGGCTTCTATAGTCTGAGTGGAAACAAAAAGCTAATATCAAACCAGCACGACTCTGAAACACTTGACATAAAATTGATCCTCCCTGACCTCTGACAGTGATGTTGTTCTGTTCTTTGGCTTGGCTGTGGCTCCATTACCTCGACCTGCACCTACTAGGGATGCACTTATCCTCACCTTTTCCTCTTTACTACTAGGTGCAGAACACAAACATTTTAAGGGAATTTGTTCATCAGTTTAAAAGAAAAACTGACTTGATTTTAATAATGCTCTCTCTCTCTCTCCCTCTCTTTTTTTGTTGCTTTTAGTAAGAAACTGGGTTCTGTCTCATGCAGGCAACATCCACATGTAGTTTTATATATTTCTAGCTTAATGTAAGTCTTGCATTCCAACCTCTTTGTGTATCTCGTTTAGTGACATAGCGCATTGTCATCACTTGCTATTACAGCCACTTCTGGAATAAAGAAGGTGAACGAAAATAGAATACTTGCATTCACTTACACTATTTTATATAGCATGGAGTTTATCAACTACAGGGAGAATTATATAAACGATGTGCTTTGGAGAAAGAAAGAAAATGAGAAGTCTTGCTTTTTTTGTTACATATCTCACATGCAATCAGTTGCTGCAATGTAAAAGTGACAGATTTGTATATTGGTTGATCCAAAGAGATGATGAACACAACAACAGAACTATTGACTTATTGTACAGTACAGTGTATCTTTGAGTTGTCATGTGTTATGTTGAAATGATTAAAAGACAAACCAGCGGTTTCATACCCTCTTTGAATTCTTTTTTTTTATTTAAAAATATTTTTTGCTCCATTTTCTTTGTGTAAATGTAAACATCTACAACAGAAGAATAGTATAAAAGCAATTAATCAAACTGTTAAATGGATTAAGCTATTTGGCTATGGAGGCCACTGTGATCATGTTCTCTGTTCTCTGGGAATTTGGGGCCTTTAGAAATGTGGTGGACATTTTCTACAAGTAATTAATTAGTGGCCCGTTGAAATTGTATTCTTGGCAGCATGGAGAGGGATTTGAAATGACATTCTGAACTTTGACCTTCATCGACCTCAGTTAAGAAATAGCACAGTAGCAAGTTCCTGTTAGAGAACAATGCCATCTGGTAGTTATTATGGAGAAAATACAGACAATGTTCTGAAACCGTTATTTTAGTCGGAGCTTAGTTAGTTGTTGATTTTCAGATGAATTCTTCCTCCAATTAGGGAAGAGCGATGTGAGTTGAACCAGGTTTTACTTGAGATGACTTTAAAATGAGGACATGACTGTAAGGTCTACAACTAAAATATGTATATATATTTCTATATATGGCTTTCCAAAAAAAGTGGATTCTTGGCTCAACTTGCCCCATATGAGGGGTAAGCCTGTAAGTCCTGTGTCACCTGATGTAGGGACTTCCCATTTTTGTACCTCTCCCACTACTCTGTCCAAACCCACAATAGGAGTTGAAGCCTGTTTTCCATTTATAGAAGCATGGCATGATGGTTTATGGTCTAAAATGCATAATGTCACATAATGCATCTAAATGCAATGTAAAATTACAGTAAAATAGTTGACTCAATTTCCCCCAGGTCTTTTGGCTCAAATTACTCCATCCCTGACATTTTAACAAACTTGTGTCATCCAGCCTCTCTCCATCACTGGGTGAGTAAAATGGATGACTCTTCAAACATGTATTCACATGACCAATTTGGTCTATGGTTGCAGAGAAACAAGGGGCGGCTCAACTTCCCCACAGGCTTAAATCACCTCAGTCTCCCCTACTGCCTAATTGAAACAACACTTGCAAAGAATCTGATTCTGTCTACCAAAGACTTGCAACAACATAGACATAGATTGACTCTTTGTCAGACAGAACAAGACTTACAGTCTACAGCAGCCATGCTAGCTGCCCTTTGAGCTAAATATCAACAACGTCAACATCCTAACACGCTCACAGTAAGCAGGTATGCTGTTTGGAAACCATCTTAATTTAGCGTGTTAGCATGCTATCTAATAAACTATTACTATTAGCACTAAACCCACCATGTTGAGGCTGATGGGAACGTCATTGGTTCTGCAGGTATTTTGTCACAAACCAAAGTACTGGACACTTTAAAATGTTGACTTGATGATGGTGCTAGATGAAATGTAGAGGGTCACCAAAGTTAGTTCATCCTAAGGGGGGGACTCCTGGCTGTGGCCCTGCGTACACATTAGTGATATTAGTCCACTGTGTTTTTAAAATACTGAACAAACTTTTTTTTCGTTTTTATCGGAAACAGCTTTACATCAACTGTTTGGGGAGTGATATGTGAGCTGCCATGAACATCCTGTGTCATTTTTTTTTCATTCCTCAAGTCCATATTCAGTTTAGGAAATGTGTCTGTGTCTTGACTCATTTGAGTGCTTAAAACAGAGCCAGAATGGTTTGACCAGACTACACAGCTGAAGCTTTATTCTCATTCTCCCATAGGCAGTCTCCACGACAGGACACATGATTACAAGCATGCTCAGAATGTGTAGTAAGATGTGTAGCTTAATTAATTAATTAATTACTTTTGTACTATATGTCAATAGTGGATTTGATTATTATGTGTAAAAGACCAAATCTCTATGATTCTGAGAATATTTAGATTTGATTTTAATGAATATAGAAAGTAAATAAATTTCAGTGAATCACTGTACTTTGAAATGCCATCCTGGTGGGTTGTGTCCCACTGTGTGTCTAACTCTCTTAGTGGACCAGGGTCTGGATTATGTCTCAGAGAGCTGCGTCAGTAAGCCTGCATGCATAGCTGAGTGTCAGGACTGCCCTAATTATAGTACTATGGAGCTAACCTATACTTACATCAACTGAGCTGACTCTCACACATACACTTAAGGGATGCCAACTGTGCCATAACTCAAGAATAGAAACTCTTTTTAGTTTTGTAAGAGGAACCTGGAAAACTTTTAAATAGGTCTTTGTGATTTGATCATAACCTTCCTGACACTGAACATTTCAGGAACACAGAGGGACAAAGCAGGAATTAACACCTTGAGTGGATCACACATACACAACAGACATCTCATTTACAGAGGTACTCTAGCACTGTAGCACTGTGCGAGAGACATTAACAAAAGACTGGTCAAAATTGATGCGTCAGAGTCTGTGTTATAGGTCAACTTTTAGTCCCTTTTGTAGGTCAAGCCACCCAAATTGCTGGATCTTACACTTCCCACAATGCAACTATACAATCACCTACAATGCCTGGTAAATGCCCCAGTTTGTAACACAAGCTTCCTGTTAACAGAGCTGAAGGTGCCAATATCAAGTCAGATCTCGGGCAAGGCTACAAGAATGTTCTTTATTCCATCAACACGTTTTGGCACAGCCCTTCATCAGGATGATTTAGAATGTGTAAAAAACAAAGCCTATACAGTTTACTCTACAAGATGGCGGAATCTTGATCAGTTATAAAATCAGAGCAAGACACATTGATGGCCAGCCTCCAAAGGATGCTGTACATCCAGCACAGAAACATTTAAATAAAGGTACACACAGTTCAGCAAGTTCAGAGTCTACAGCTACGCTAGCATCTCTGCAAGGCTCTACTGAGGCACAATAGTGCTTTGCGCTAAATGCTAATATCAGCATGATGACATGCCCACATGGGGGTGTTTAGCAGGTATCCCTATTCACTGTCTTAGTTTTGCATGTTAGCAGTAGTTTGTCCAAAAATTTCACTCCAAACTACAAATGTCAACCATGTCATGATGGTGTTGGAGGAAAGAGTCCTCTGTGGAGAACATGAATACCACAATTTTATGGCAATTCATAAAATAGCTTTTGAGATATTTCAGTCTGGACCAAAGTGGTGGACTGACCGACTCATCAATTGATAGGCTGACAGTAGGGGCTGTGGCTCAGGAGGACGAACGGGTTGGAAGATTGGCGGTTCGATCCCCAGTCTGCTTGTCCTTGGGCATACTGAACCCCAAATATTTACTCTGCTAAGTGTGTGAACGTAACTTTAAGTCTGAATGCGACATGTAGTGTAAAGCACTTTGAGTGGTTGGAAGACTAGAAAGGTGCTAAACAAGTCCATTTACCATTGCCAGAACCATGCAGCCACTATGGCTGAAGTCTCCAAGCCCAAACTGAGATAACCCTGATGTAATCTGTAACTCACTACATTTGAAAAATCAGTGTAGTGCCTCCTTGAGAATATTTTTTTAAAAACACAATAGAAGCTGATTTTCATATTCAACTTGTCATTAACTTTATTGTTTTGTCACTGTACATTTTGTAATTGGACATTCTGTAAAAGAGAAAACTAACAGAAACAAGTTCCGTTGAAAGTCATCATGAGCATCATGCTTTTGGCTAAAACGATGACAGGATCATTACAGAGAGCGCCACAAACAGCAAAACGCAACAAATACAAAGCTGTTTTCTTTTATTTACATTGTAAACCCCTCGATCATACATACGCACGTGTGACACAGGCCTCTTAAAAGTCTAGCTGTAAAAAATCTCCCCTGGCATGTGCACTTCAACAGTCACAGAGGAGTGTCTGTCTGTCCTTACATAAGACAGCAGCCGAGTGTCACAACTCAGGAACTCTTTGACATAATACAGGGAGCAGAGTGTGGTACAGTAAATAGGAGATGGTATCTGAGTGTCTGTTCGAGTGGAAATAAATGAAAAAGTAATGGTCAGCACATGAGTACACTCATTTGAATGGCAGCAATGTCTGGAGCTTAACAGAGCAGTCCTGTCGTGTGGCAAGTAGCAGGGGTAACTCGCTCCTCAAGCAGATCATTCATAGCTTAACAAGTGTTGGGTTGGCTTGATTATAATGAAGGAAGGAGAGGGCACAGGAGGACAAGTCATTCATTCGTTTTGCACCAGGAGAATGATGGTTGATCTAGGCACCTGTCCCTCCTCTGTACAGCCCTGCACTAACACATCACCTTCACTTCTGTGCAAAAAACGCCAACCATTAAAAACCAATCAAGTGAAGCACATCAGTTCTTCACTAGAATTTGATGGTAATCATATTGTAACTGTGATATCCAATAAATATTTACCCAGATGACTCAAAGTGCCGCCTGCATGCCATGAGTTTAGTTTCCATTCATCCTAAAAGTTATTTGTCTAGAAGGAGCACATGATGCATAATGAAAATGTAGCTTTTCAGGTCTGTGCTGCTTGTTTGTATTCAGAGTATTCTCTTAGGGCTGAAATCTGACCCCTACCATCCACCATTAACTTTACTGAAACTATATACCAGTGTTCTGCTGGACATATCTTTCACAGGGAAGCATACATATAGAACAGGGTCAGGGTCAATCTGTATGTCTTGCCTTTAAAGGAATAGTTTGTCACTTTGGGAAATGCGCTCAACTGCTCTCTTGCTGAGAGTTAGATGGACACTAAATATGAAGCTACCTCCAGCAACTGGTTAGCTCAGCATCAAGATGGGAAACAGTTGGCTGGGACAGATTTTGGACTGACCGAGGCAGGCAGCTTTAATGTTATGATTATTGTGCCATTTAATTAATATATATTGTGTAATTTAGCTACAGTAAAATACATTGGTTGTCTATGGGACGCACTTAGCTTCAGTTGCTTGTCAAGCAATATTTTTAATCAGGTTCAAAATGCCTTTTTTAGCAAAAACATTGGATGAAACACAAATAGAACCACACTTTTGTAAGCCTAAAAATGTCATTAAAAAGAAAGGGAAAAACGTGAGCTGTTATTCAAGAGTAAGTGTATCAGTCTACACAAAAACA